CAGTGGACCGGGAAAAAATAGGTATTCGTCCAAACTCGTCCCGTTTGGACCGGAGATAGACTATACGTATTGAACGGTGAACGTATACGGGAATACTCGTATAAACCCGTGCGGGGATGAAGGCGGGGATGAATTTACCCTTACCCCCGCCCCGCCTCACCCCATCCCATCTCCGTTACCCGTTATATATATAAACTCCCAATTAAAACCCTAGGTCTAACTTACTCCTCTTCCTCAATCAACGTCGCACACACACAGATGGTGATCTGAGTATATGTTTCATCTTCAATGCTCAAATCAGACCATCTTGGACGTGTGGCTCAAAGACTCTCAAACAAAACTCATTCTTGGACGAAGCAAACACAGATTCTTCATCTTCAGTTGCATAGGTTTGAAGTCCTGGCTTGCTGGTTTAATAGAGTATTAGAATTCATGATATTTATTTGTTTTTCCACTTCAAATTAGTTCTATTGATATTATTAGATTAATGGGTTTTGTTTTTATTTATGACTGGAAGTTCTTAGTACATATCTGTGGGAAGATATTTGGGTTTGATGTAACATAAATTCCCATTGATAAAAGATAAAGCAACTTAGTAAAGTGCAAGATCTATAGTACAAAATATTTCAGGTTCTCTATCCTGTTTCTCGGACTTCTCTATCTGAGTTTAAGTTCTGATAGTGCTGCATGATTCCTTGTGGGCTGATTCTTGCCATATATTATTTTAATTGTGTTTACTTTCAAAATTGATTTCTCAGTGGTCGGCATAATCAATACTATCGATCTTTTCCCCCTTCAGTTATAGTCATCATTTGTCACATTTTTTATATTGTTAAATGTTTTATTCCGATCATAAGGAAAAAAAAAAAAAAAGCTATTTCTTATAACCGCGGGTACGGGAATGGGGATGATAGCAAAAAAAAAAAAAGCTATTGGGCTGGTACGGGAGAAGTGGAGATGGAGATGGGGATTATAAATTTACCCTCGAATGAAAATGAGGATGAAAATTATACCATTAGTAGAAATGGACCGAGGATGAATAAAGATTTTTTAAACGAATATGGGGATGAAGACTATACTCCCGCTCCACTTTGGTCCATTCTCACGCTAATGACAATAAACTTGATTAATGAAAAAAAAAAAAAAAAAGCATAGCTGGTCGACCATCTGACACACACAGAGTGACCCAAATTACAGACCCACCCATCAATCAAATAAAGCCTCTCTGATTTCTACACTTCACCACGCAACCTCACGTGCGATGTTGCCCAAACGCACGCGTGATGGTCCTTTTTTGACTCTAAAGAGGAACATTGACCTACGGCCCCCGCATGTGTTAGACGGTCCAGATTCGATTAGATGTAACAGCTGATCTGGGCCGTTGATAGGGGACAATGTTGAGAACCGGTTGCCCCCATTTGCAGGGTTGGAAGACCAGAAAAGCCCGACACTCTAAGACCTGATATGTCGGGGAGGAGAGAGAAAAAAAATGCTCACATTTTTCCCAATAATACACTTTTTTCATGTGGTCCAACAATCGGCAAATTCCACGTGGCGTATGATGAGGTGGAGGGACTGTATTGACACGTGTTAAAAAGGCCGGGTTGTGGGGTCCATGGAGTTGTATATACCGACATGAGGCATGTGATGATGGTTAATAAGAGAGAGAAGGGTGCAGGCGTGGCTTCATTGATGGGTGATGGATGGAAAAAGGGGCGTGTGGTGTGGACTTTTAGTATTAGTCGAGATTCGCCATCAATATAATTATTATAATGTATTATATTAATAAATTAATTTTAAATAATATTCTTTTAAAGGAAAAAGTGTTAAAGATGATTTGTATGCCACAAATACAACAAATTGCCAGGTCGGATGCCAAGTCACTATCTCTCATATATGAGAAAGAGGTGGGGACCACATTTTTGTGGCATCATTTTAATTGGAGAGGAAGTGGGCCGGGGATGTACTTTTGTTTTATCCATTTCAATGAAAACTCTCCGTGTCGCTCGCAATAGTTGACTTTGGACTTTGGCCGACTGATTTATGCCTAAAAGTTTCACTATGTTTTCCAGAATGCCACCAAGTCTCTATGGCCATCTTGACAATCAGAGTGGCGTTCTGGAAATTATGGAGGCAAAGTTGGGTATTAAGACTTCTATGTGACCCTGGCCTCACTTGGAGGAGTTATTGTGGGCTGGTGGGCCCAATAGTGAATTTGGAAATTTGGAAAGCTATAGTCTTGTGGCTGGCAGGGCCCGTAGAATAACAACTATTTCTATCATTTGTGGAAAAAGTTAAAACTTGGAATTAATTATTATAAGAGAAAATTTCAACTACACCACCTCTACTTTATCATATCTTCAAAAATATTCTCTCATTTTCTGAATCTTCATTAACACCCTCTATCAGATTAAAAATATTAACTATAATGCAATTTTACTAAATTGTCTATAATATATTTGAGGACAAACTTTTTCCACACCTCCACTAAATAAACATATCTTCAATGAGATCCCCTCTCTTTTTTAAAATTTTTTACGTATTAAAATTTGATTCGAGCTAATTAAAATTTATTTTTTAGGTATTAAAACTCGAATCGATTAAAAACTATATTTTGTTTAAGTAATAAAATTTGAGCGTCGAATTTTAATCTGTCTAAATTTTAATGCATAAAAATATATAAATTTTAATAAATCGAATCTTAATTGACATGAATTTTAATAAGTAAAAAAATATAAAATTTAATCAACTCGAAGTGAATTTTAATCGGCGCTAATAATTCGAGTAGAGCTTAAATCAACTCTAATTTTAATATGTAAAAAATAAATTTTAATAGGCACAAATTATAATACAAAAAAAGTAAAATTTTAATCAGTTCGAATCGAATTTTAATCGGCTCAAATTTTAATATGTAAAAAAATAAATTTTAATCAACTCTAATTTTAATATGTAGAAAAATAAATTTTAATCGAATTTTATGTAGAGATATTTTTTAGTATTTTTGATATTTTTTTGTTAGAAATGATGGTTTAATAACAGAGGATGTCAATAATGTTTTTAATAATAGAGGAGCGTTTTTGAAGATATAACAATCTAGAATGGATGTGGTTGAAATTTTCACTTATTATAATTATTTTTTCTGGGGTCTAATATTCATATTAGCCATAATCATCTCTTCAAATTTAGAAATTTGAATTTAATTACACTAGTGTGGTAAAGTGTTATAATCTGAAAGAGGTGACAAATACTAAAAATGAACATTTATAGAGGATGAAACATTATAATTAGCACGTAAAAAATAAAATTATGTATAAAAACATTTATTACATTTACGAATGTGACATTCGAGTACGAAACTAAGGGTGATCAAAGTTAAAACAACTCAATTTAGTTGAACTAGTGTCTCAAGTCCCTACTTGATGTGAGCCCTTATTCAATTTTGAAAAATTAATGAGATTGCAAATGATATCTTATGAATTCTGAAATTATACTCACACTCTGTCTTAAGAAGGTCAAAAGACATTTGTGTCATTAATTCTTGAAAAATGTTATTTAAACTTAATTTAGGAATTTATCTAGTGACCTATTATAATACAAACTATTGGATAGAAAGTGAACTTTATTTAACATTGAAATTTATAATTAATTCAATGACTACATTGAATTGAATCTCTGATTAAATTCCTAAATTAAGTCTTTATAACATTACTTTTAATTCTTTTAGCATTACAAACCAAATACACCGTCAACCTCCTTTTGTGTGTTCATAAAAAAAAAAACACGAATCCTCTCTCGTAAGATACATGCAATTCTATTGACAAAATAACTTTAAGAGTAATATTATTTAAACTTAAAAATTTGACATAATTTATTTGTCAAAATAACGTAATGTCATTGTAATTTTATTGAAATTATTAGATTAACATTAAGTTTTAATATTTGATGGACCCACAATCAATCTAATAATTATAGTAAATTATGTTAATAAATTAAGTTTTAATAAAATAAGACAATTATTTTTATTCTCTCTCGTTCATGATTTTTTTTCTTTTTTTCACATTTACTTACATTCCCATGCACGCCCATAGGCACACAAAATGACCCACACATACAAAGACAAAGAAGCCTGCACACACCAACACCTACATACAGGTGTACACATCTACTCCCACATATTTCACATGAAAATTATTCTATATTTCTTATTTATCTATCCAATGGTGGTGGTGAGAATGATGGTGATATGAGTTTATAACATCATCAAACACTCTCTTCCACCTCTACAAGAGGAAAATAAGTTAGTTCGAATTTAATGAGTCTACAATATCAATTCTCCTAAGTTTGAAGATTTTAATCTCAATTATTCTAATTTTAACCTTAACTTTCTACAACGAGGTTCAATGTGAATGAATCTATACCTGACTCTCGTAATTGATAATAATTGTAAATTTTAATTTGAATAATTTCTAAATAGAGTTTGTTAACTTTAATCTATATCAACTTTATATCCGAATGTCTTGTTTATAAATGTGATATTTATTTTTTCTGTGTAAAATTAAATTCTTGGTGATCTGAATATGCATTTTATCTTTTACGAATATTATGATGATAACTGGACCCCTGAAATAGGTCCAATTTCTTGGGTATTATGTACTGAGAGGTCCATTTTCTGCTGTACAAATTTGCAGATGCTATTTCCGACTTGTGTGTTAAAACTTAGAAGAGTAAAAAGAAGAGGACAAAGCTATCCAAATCCCAAAGGTTCTCTTTTTCAACCTCCGGCTTCCTGTCTGCAAAGTGCCTCCACATGCTCTCTCTCTCCACACACCAGGTTTTAAGTACTCTGTTGCTTTGATAATGGCGTAAAAGATTGTGAAGCCTTCCTTCACAAACTCTATCTCTCTCTCTAAACTGCCATTAACTGTCTTGCTTGTTCTTTGCTTTCTGGGTCTTTTTCAACTCATCATGTTTGTGAAATGTTGTTAAATTTGGAGGTGAAAATGGGAGATAAAGATGGATGGGGTTGGCCACCAACTGGGGCTCCGTTTAATATACAAGCAGAAGATCATTGGAGGCACTTTGATAACTCGGTCAATGCAGTTTCTTTTGGGTTTGTTGCCACTGCCATTCTCATCTCAATGTTCCTTGTCATGGCCATTTTTGAAAGATTTCTCAGACCCACCTCGCCGGCTTTGACCCCGCCGGCTGGCCGGAGGTTTGGAGACATTGAGTCTCAGATGGGTTTCAGTCCAAAGCTTGGTCACCCATCACCAAAAGTGAGTAAAATGCATTCATAATGTAATTAGAATGTGTGATTTCTGAGTTTTTATACCATACAAGGGTGTGAAGTTTGTTATGGTCTTGTGGTTTTGAATGTTTATAGCTAAAATTTTGTTGCTTGCTTTCTTTATCTCTCTTATCTGTTCTTGTTTGGCGTTTGGATGATACTTTTGATATTTGTAGGTAGTGATTATTGTTGTTCTGACATAGAATTTCTGCTTTCCTAGGTTCCTCCTATGTGTGTGTGTGTGTGTGTGTATTTATATGAAGTTTAATGATATTGTGTTTATATTTCTTTATAATTTGGTGTCAGTTGTAACTGGGGACTTCGAACATTCCTTAGGCCTTACTGGAGCCTTAGCTTAGTTTTATGGTCCTTCTATGAAATATCACCAAGAAACCTAACAAATTTATGGCCCTCTCTACTAGAACTAGGACTGGTTGGACCCATAATATGTCTATTTAGTTATTGTTATACTCTTTCTCCGTCTATGGGTGGGTGTGTTGGGGGGGGGGGGGGGGTTGTGCTTGTGGAGAAGCTTAAGATTTTTCCCTCTTTTTGGTGAACAAAAAACTGTGCTTAACTGAAATGAAGCTTACTATTTGCACAATCTAAATGAAATTGTTGTTTCCTAAATTTTTGTTATTTCCATGGTGCTACAAGTTAGACTGAGTCAATATAATGGATAATACTACATTGACCAAAGACAAGTACCAAATAATGTGGCGCTAAATAGGTGCATTAACATTTGCATTTTTACACAATTAAATTGGGACCAAAAGCACCTTCATATCAGCGTGGCAGCGCCTATTATTTGGTCCTTGTTTTTGATCTAATTTTGATCGGTCCGACATTACTATGCATATGTGTGTAAGTGTGCAAATGGCTTTTGTAGCCTATAGGCTTCCACAAAACTTTAGGAATCGGTTCCACTACCTCTGTGGCCTAAATCTTTAACTTTGTTATAAACATTGGGTGAATTAATAAAAGAAAATTTTGATAAAAACAGAGCATGGCATTAACTAGTCAAGAATTTATTATAATACAAGCATGTGCATGTTCCCTAAAATTTCGATGTATTATCAAAGGACTGTGTCTCCTTGATTATGATATTTGTCCAATGGCCTGTCCAAGAACCAACTAGCTGTTTTATTGGTCCCATTTGAATGCTTGAGGGACTATATGCCGACATGTAGTTCTTTCATTCTAGAACCCCACCACTGTACATTGTAACCATTTGGCCCATCACTAGTGACCTTTATGATACCCCCCACAGCAAGCACAAAGGTCGGAGACATGAGACCTTTAAATTTCTTTGTTGGCAAGACTTAGTTTATTGTTTTCTTTGCAGCTTTAAATGTATCCAACTAGCTCTATTAAACTAACATCACCATTGACTTATCTATGTGAGTTTGTGTGACCTGTTATGTGTAATTTTTTTAATCTATGTCTAGATAAATATTAGTTTGTTGTTTGATGGGGATGAAATTTATATCTAGGGATTAATTATTTTGAAGTTTTTGATGAGGTGCATACGGGAATGTATAGGATGGTTTACTATGTAGCTATTTCAATTTAAGTAAACTAATATTTTTTCCTCGAATGTGGTTTAAACTAGTTATACCTTACCTCCCTACAATTTGAACACCTACACTTGACACTCTTGTCATCTTATGGTTTCGGATCAAAACGTCACGTTAGAATTTCTGTCAAAATTGATTGTCAAAATCAAAAGTCAGAATTATGAATAAGATGCCATGTTAAAATGACTTTAATAGTCGTAAACATGATATATCTCTTCTTTTCTTTCTCACTAAAAACCCCATATTTGCGTCCCTTTTACTTGGCATTTGAAGCATTTTCCAATTTGTAAACCTATAAAATTTATAGCACAAAGGGCGTTATTTTATTTTTGTACTAACTTGGTAACCCCATCAGTTGTTATTCTCTGGAACTAAGTTTCAAAGGGATAAAGTATAGGTTCGTTAAATATAGGATGGTAAACATCACTGGTTTAAATCATAAGAGTGTAAAAAATATTTTATCTTTTGACAAAGGGATGAAGTGTAGGGCACATCACGCTAGACAGCCTCATACAAGTGTGTAGTCAAGGGTTAAAACACAAGACATTATTCATTCAAGGGATAGTGACAATAATATGAGGGACATTGCTTTACTAGTTTCCCAGTACTCTGAAACTTCTTAAAATACAAATGGGTCACCAACCATTCTGACCTTGCTTTTCAATTTAAACTCCTGATGAAGTGCAACAACCCCCAAAGGAGGTTTTAGTCTTTATGACCCACTTGGTAGTTCGGTCTTTGCGAGGAAACCTAAAAAGGATTGATTTTTGAAAATTAAACTACCTTGAGGAGATATTAAAATGATGAAACACTTGTCGTTCACAGTGTAACCAGGCCATCCAATTGAATGTCTGTCCCCTATGGTCATCCTAGAATTTCCGTATGATTGCGTGCGAGTGCATATTTGGTATGTTATATGAGTTAATATCAACATTAACTACAAATTTCCTGATAGTCTCTAGCCCAAAAACCTCTATAAAGAAGCTTAATAATTTAACAAGCTATGCCTATTTTATCAGCAAAAAACAGCCTCATGTGGGTGATGTCAACAGTTCATAACCATTTCCCTTATTTGAGGGGACGAGGACAATTTTTGCATTGGCTAGCACTATTGCAATGTTTGTATTTATATCATAAATAATCATCCTATATCTCACCAACTAATATATAAGATAAGAAAAAGTCAACTTTTGTTCCGTCACTTAGTCAAGATATTGTTATCTTTTCGGCAGAAAAGAATAAGAAAAGCAGATTATGCCATGTCAAATACTGTCATCTGTTGTATTAATGTTGCTGTTCTGTGTCCTATACAAAGAGGATCGTCACTAATCATTCACTACATAATTTGTTGAATATGACTTTAAATTGATTCATTAGCCCAAAAAATGAAATGAAATGAAATTAGAAATTAAAGTTGATGGCATTTGCGAATCAAGAGATCAGTGTCTGTATTTTGCGGCTATATTTTGGAGAACTATATAGGTCACACAAGATTATGAATCAATTAGGGCATCTAAAGCACCATAAGCTGTAAATTTATCTAGCTGTTGAAGCAACACACTTACCCAGTGGGGGCAGCTGCCCCCACTAGAATTTTAAAAAAAATTGGGACCTAGGTAAAATTTCAAAAATTTCTTAAGTTTGCCCCCACTGAAATTTTCATAGTATGGTGTGTGTGAGTATAATTTTAAAACCATCAAAACATAACCTTGGGAACCTTATTTTTAACACCCTTCTTCTTCGACTCTTTGTTCGAACTTCGACTCCCAGTCTGCCCTTTCTTCACGACTTCATCAATTTGAGAAATTACTTTTAATCCTCACAATTCTAACCTACGAAATCAACATAGAATTAATGGAGGTTTAGCCTTAGCAAAATTGAGCGATAAATAAGTGATTTATTATACCCTTCAAATAAATAATTCGACACTAACCCTAAATAAATATCACCTAAACTTGGTAAACATACGTTATACACGGTACGTTATAAATTTGAATTACTTTGATTTTTTTTCTCTTGGGTATTCCATTTCTCTTCTTATCTCTTTTTTGTCTTCCTACTCTTCAACCTTTTGGACTTCATTTTTGAATTTCATCGACATTTATCCAATCAATTAAGTGAATAACTTTAATGGAAATGAGATATTAGGAGATTTTATTGGAGCGGCATTTATCGAATTTCATCGACATTTTTCGATTTTGATAACTTTTGTTATTTTTTCAATTAGTACACAGTTAGTAGGGCTTTGGTTATTGTTGCCCATTTTCTTTTGCTATAACAGATAATAAAGTTTTGATTATTGAATTTGAATTAAAAGATCAACTAATTGGTTGTGTATCAATTTCGTTGAAAAAATTAACATTCTTGAAAATTGGATGGTAAAAATGACATAAAGGAGTTCGATCTTATGGAGGTAGTTTATTCAAACAGTCTTGAATCTTGGCGCTTGTGGATATTTTTATAATAAGTTTTTGTTTGACGCATTTCTTGTATATTGCTTGTTTATATGAAATTCGCCTCTAATTGTTGTTCTTTTAATGAAATTAGACCTGTAAAATTATTGTTAGTTATTGTGTTTGCAAAAATAAAGTCAATATTATGATTTTAGATTGCCCCCTCTACATGAAAAGTCTAGCTCCGCCCCTGCACTTATCCGATGGTACTGATACTTCCCAGGGAAATTTTTTTTCCCTTTCAGCCCCATATTTCTTGCCATTATGCTTTTCTATTTACTTTGTGGTTTTTGATCTTGATGATCATTTTTACATGATGCATTAGGCTGGGTATATGTAGTATTGGTCTTTGATATGCTTTAACTTACAAAACATCGAGTTTTATTTTTACAATTTTTTACTCTTTAAGTGAATGGAAATGTTCCACAAGTGACTGATTCAATAACATGGATTTTTTTTGGAATTTTTGCTGACCTCGTTTGTGACTTAACCTAATATAGATTTTATTGAGGTTGAGTCAGGGCTTGGCAACCTTAGATCGGCTTCTCTGTTTCTTCTCTTCACTCATGATTTTGTGACAATTTTTATTATTCAATACCTCCTGTTGAATTTGTTAACGTGGATGCTATTTTTGTTATCAATTTCCTCATCAACGCCTTCAATAGTCTTTCGGTAGTTATTTTAGTTGTAGTTTTAAGCTTGTCCAATAATATAGTTAGCCTTCGCTGCATGCAACACATTGTATGCAATGTACAATGATCACCACAGAAATAAGGCTTGTCTTTTCAGGGAGCAAAGCATTATAGAGGACTTGATCTCCTCTGCATTTGACATTGTTGTATCTTTTTGGCTGAGTTTCATAAAGTTGACCCATATGAATAGGTTAATGTTTTTTGATTTCTGCTTTATTATAAAACAATAGCTGCATAGTTTTCAATTTCTTCCCATTGGGGTGGTCTCTGTTAGCATGTCTACTTGATCTGTGTTAAATAAATTTCTTATAAGCTGTAACTTTTATTCAAGTACCTTTATTTATAACAAACTTCTGAATTTTATGCTCTGTGTAATCCAAACTCCGATATTATGCTTTACAAGTTCTAATAAACATATCTATCTATTCCTTCAGATTACCGTGAATGCCAGAGAAGTTTCAGTGTTGATGCCTGGAGAGGACATCCCTACCTTCATCGCCCACCCAGCTCCCGTGCCTTGCCCTCCAGAACGCATGCCTTGGCCTTCCCATCAACATAATGCATTGCCCAATTCTGCCCACAACTCCAACTCCAACACATCCTCAAGCTCAACCTAAAAGAACCAAACACCACAAGTGCCTGCTTTGTAAGTCACACTATTTCTTCAACAAGATACATACAATCAATCAATCTATTTATCATTTATTCAACTGGAGCGAAAGACATACACTGTCAAAGATGCCAAGCAAACTGGCAAGTATTTGAATCGAAAAGGTGGCCCTTTTTTTTCCCTTTGGCCCTGAAAATTGTGTACATAGCACAAAGTCATGGTGGGGCAAGCTGGCTTCAGATTATCGAAGCATCATCAAAGGAACGCAGGCGAGGTTTACCCTTTCATTCACCTATATTTTGAACATATGTGCCTTAATATTCAGATTTTCAGTTGTATGGTGGACCTTTATAGACAGATAAGATTGCACACTAAATGGATTGTTCTTCTTTGAGAGATTTTATATAAAGTGAGGAATATAATTGAAGTTGGGTACCTCTGGAATTTCATCAATTTGCTTGTAAATCTTGTTTTCTCAACACTTATTGATGTGTTAATAGCACTCAATTCAGTACCATTGCCTGATACAATTGTTAAGCAAATACCTACAACCCTGAGCTTGTAGCTTTGAATTTGATGGCAGACATTTTATGCGAAAAATGTCAAAGTTTAGGTTTATATCTGATCAATTCCTCTTAGCATTCTTGTTTTAACATAGACTGAATTGGATAATGAATTTGCAATAGCAAAAGTACATAATCTGGAGTGGAAAGAAAGCGTACACAAAGATGATACCATTACAAGAAGCGTATAAATTTTGAGTTTGGCATGACTCAGCTAAGTTGACCGAGTTGTATCTGAGTTGATCTCGAGTCGTTGAGTTGTCATCACCGAATTGTCTAATACGGGGCCACAACAACGTGATATGATTTAAAATTTTCGTTTTTATAGGTTATATCGTCCGATACCGCACTACAACGCTGTGACCAAGTTTTTCGAATTAATACTTGATACTGCAATTTTCAAGCATAATTGTAAGTGATGAGAAGTGATTCTCACTCTACTTTTTAGTAATCTCATCTTTGTCAAGTCAACAACTAATTGTAATTCAATTAAAGTTAAACCAACTAAAAAACTTGAAAAAATAAAAGACAAAGGGCAACAAAGAAATAATGTGAATGCATTAACCCATAGCAAACTTGGAAGGTTGGAGTGGGCTTATTTGGGTCAGCAGAAGTTGGTTCCCTCCAAAATGACTTCAAATTTCTACACTTCTCAACAATTCATTGGCCTTCATACGTGTTAGAATATTTTAACTAAAAGAGTATTTTTTATGTGGAATCTCAATCCCACATCGATTAAATATCTTAAGATACTTGAGTATATATATGTACTAATGTTATTTAACATTTGAATCAAAGAGAGATCTTGGGGCTCTCACGTGCGTAGGGGTGGGACTAGCGAAGGAGATACGGATTAAACCTACTTTTTAATATTTTGTTTAATTATTTTTTGTTATTACTTCTATAATAAAATTTCAATTGCTGAATACCACCAAAAATCTCCAACGGCTAGTATTCCAACAGTCATATTTTGAGTTATTATCCAATTAAGTATAAAAGTAATTACAGACTATTAAACATATATATGATATATATATATATATATATATATATATATATATATATATATATATATATATATAGATATACAACTGATATCAACTATCTTCTTATTGCATAAGTTTTTGGGCAATATTTAAAGATGTGTGTGAAGCTTCTGTTTTATTCGATTGTGTAGATCTGAGTGAAGCAACAATCAATAGGCTGGGCTGTTGTATCTTGGGGACGACGCGCTACTACCTTCTACGTTGTGATCCTTTTATAAAGGGGCGCGAATTTTCTTAAGAGAGCGACCTAATCCGCGCCTTACCTTACTGTTCTCTTTATTTGCATCCAATTTTTTTCAACAATACATAAGTCAACATCTTACAATCTAGAGAGAGAGAGAGAGAGAGAGAGAGTAGAAAAAAATTGTAGAATATGTGATAATGTAATGTATTCCAGTTATTTATACTTCAATTTTGAACTTTGAACCCCTTGAAATATGAAATTATTCTCACTCAGTTTCAGGATTGGGTTGAGAAGATTTCATTTGTCTGCCAAGGGAAACAGTCCAAAGAAAAAGACATTTTGCCTATAAAAGGCACATCTGGTTTCTAGATGGAAGCCACCAAAAATAACATTAACGGCTCTATATGTGAGAACACGACCACTGCCAAATTCTAACTCCTAATGGCTAAAAGAATGGCTTCCCTCCACCGTGATTCAAACCTTTAGGCCACAGTAGGCTTGACAAAATCCAACACAATCGGTTTATTTGATACGAAATTAGTAGATTTGGGTTTGATCTTTAACGTATTTGAGTGTTAAACGAATATACCGATCTAACCCGCATAATAAAAAAATCGTATTTGGATGTAATAGTTTAACCTATTTATCATCTCATTGCCGCTTAATAAATTGATATATTATTTGAATACTCGATTACTTGGTTATCATACGATTGCTCAATTATCTATTTATCACCTAATTAATATTTTAATATATAACCCAATTTGTTGCAAAATTAAGATTTTTTTTTGTTGTAAAATAAATGGGTAACATAAGTCGCGTCGTGTAACTAGTTTAATAAATGGATCATATTTGAATTTTATAATTTATATCTATTTAATAAATGAGTCATACACGGGTTAAGTAGTTTTAGATACGAACTTCCTAAAAACCAACATGATTGCTATCCCTAATCCACAACCAAAAGCATAATGCCTAAAATACCCTTTTCACGTGGTATTGAATTAGTATTAGAGCATCTCTATCATTGACTCAAATATGAGTTTATATTTGAGTCGAAATCTTAATTTGTTAGAAAGCACTCCAATGAAGAAATTCAAATTTAAAGAAAGAATGTGATCATTATATCTTTATAGGAGAATTAAATCTAACTATTAGAGATTTAAGTAAAGGTTTGAGTCTGCCTTGATTTAGTATGGATTTTGGTATAGGATTAAAGAAGGATTTTAAGGATTTTTCACCCAAATTTAAATTTGGCTAAAATCCTTAAAACCTTCTCCAATATTAGATCCACACCCATATCAAATGAAGAAAGACTCAATTTTTTACTTAACTCCGTACCCAAATCTTTAATTGTGAGATTTTACCCTCTTTCAAATTTTGGTTTGTCCTCATTTAAATTTGAATTTCTCTTATTTTAAATTGAGATTTCTTTATTGGAGAAGTTTATACCAAATCAAACTTTTTATCCCTTTTTTTTTAAATTAAGATTTCTTCATTTGATTATGAATTTTGTTTGAATAATTGCAACTTCTTTCTTCAAAAATATAAATTTACCACAAGTTTAAAAAATGAATAGGTACTCACCCACAAGGGACCATGCCAGATAACCTCCTAAGTTCTAATGACATTTGATTATAATGGAAAAACAAGATTCATATAGACGATCTCAAATAATCGAGATCAATACTTTGTTGATTGAAGTTAAATTGTACGTGTTGTCCAGGGTGATATCCTCAACTTCAAAATCAAAAAGGGATCCAATATTTTCTAACATATTTTATTTAAATTTTTTTTCAATCATAAATTATCTACCTTATTTTGAAACAAAACCTACTAATATGCGCCGAGTGATTTATTATTACGAGAATTAAGAGAAAATTTATAAAAGTGAGTACAATTCACGTGATAAAAGAGATAAAAGAATTCCCCAATTTGTAATCAACGTTTTGCATGGTAGTTCTTGTGAACACATTTGCCTTTTTGCCGTTATTCGTTCAAAGGTAGATAGACCTGGTCAATCTTTCCAGTTCCTCTCCTTTACCAGCTGGCTGTTTATTACGGTAAGGATGTCAGTTTACTTAATATTGTAATTAATTTATTTGGATGGACATTAATATTTAGATTCAGAAGTATACTGTGAAAATAAAATCTCTGAATATCAAATTAGATTTAGATAAAAAAAAAAAATCTAGATCAGATCAAACACGATTCAAAATTGACATAAAATTAGCAGGTTAGAGTTGATTATTTTTTGACGTGAATATGTATATAACACGACCCGTTAATACGAATATTATGAAAATGACATAATTAACACGTTTAAATAGTATTACAAAAATAAAATATCAATTTTTATTATATTTTATCAAATAGTGATCTAAGTGTTGTCCAAGTTGATTTAAACAACCACGACGGTTAAACCAAAAAAATAATAAATAAGTAAACAAGTTCATGTTTACACTATGTCAACCAATAGGAAGCAATAATTCAATAGAATCATACGCAATTGTGATGTTGACACATTAATATATAGTAAATACACCTACCCATCACCCACCCACCCATTAGTCACATTTCACATCGTTTCTTTAATATGTACTCAATGGTCAAGGCCTGATTTCCTCCCCGGAAAGTTTCAATCTACATCTATCGAGTTGGTTGCTTGCTTCCGAAATCCTAAGCAACAAGTCTCCTACTGTTCGGGCATGTTTGGTACGTGAATTTTTTTATTTTTGGGGAGGGGTTTGGATCCTAGGTTGGGGATTATATTCCCTTAAACTTATGTTTGATAGTTATGCATTTAATGTAAGATTTGAAATTCAGTTCCATCATAAAATTCATATACTTGAGTTTCATAAAAATTCAAAGGGGGTGGGTTTCATATATTGGTTAATGAGTTGAACATATAAATAACAATTATACCCCTATATATTTTATATACCCCATATATACAAATTGATTAAGGAGCACAATAGTTATTTATATATAAATATATTATCATAATAATCATATATCCCTGCGCATACTAAACATGAGTTTGGACATCTTTGAGTCAAATTCGAATTTAAACAAATCAATTTAAATTCCTCCCAAAAATCATACCAAACCGCCAAAAAAGACTACAACAAGAAGATACAACTTTGGCCATCACAGCAAGAAATGTGTATGTACTGGTTATTAATACACGCGTCATATTCTCGTAGGTGAAAAATAACAATTATAATATATATATATATACTAATTTTAAATCGTGCAGGAAAGTACGATAAAATGTAAAATTCGAACATCTAAAAAATCGATACTACTATATTAAATTTGTTCAAAATACATTAATTATAAATTAATCAAATATTAAATAATTATATATATGATAAAAATGAGTGATAAAATATTTTAAAGAGAAAATATATAAATAATTATATATGTGATAAAAATAAGTTATACGATTTAACATTTGAGTTTGACAAAGAAATGATGGGTGAAGTAAGTAATTGGTGATAATTTTAAGGAAAAAAATATGACGAAAATAAAATTCAAATATATTCTTGTTTTATTTTATATATATATTTTATCGAAACAGTTATAATATTAAAAAATAATTTTTTTTGTACCATAATTTAACCCGATTGCTTAACCCCTGTAGCATTGCGTGTGCAAATATTCATTTGGAACAGAGAACAGACAGCACAGATGAGGGTAATAATGTAATATGCCAATTGGAAACTTCCTTTTCACCATAATTGCAATTTTACCTTACAAAAATACCAAATTCCCCCATCAGATTTTCAAAAATTACAATCCCAACCATAATGTTCTACTAAAGAAAGATGAAACATTCCAAGGACACAAGTGGATTTTCAAGTGAATCATTTGATATCGGTGGCCACTTGTTCTCTCTATTATCCTCCTCGACTTTCCGGTTCTTCTCAGCCAATTCGGATCTGACCCGACCCGGGGACTTTCCGAATTTCCTCGCCGACGGGCTCCTGCCCAAACCCGATCTCCCGCCACCACCGTCAGTCCGAGTCGCCGGCGACTTTGACCTCCGAAGTGAACCATTCCCGAAGCTCCCTCTCAACCCACTAGTCGCAAGCCCGGGCCTCTCTTTTGCGGGTACAGTCTTGACCCGACCCGGAGACTGCTCCGAATTTCTTCCTGGTGACTTACCCACTGTCTTCTCTCTCTTCAAGTCGCCGGAAAATGACCGGTATCTGAACTTCGCCGGCGATCTTTGACGAACCTCAGCATCATCGTCATCTCTCCTCTCGGTAGTGACCGTTGAGACACTCTCGCTTACTGTACTACAGATCTCAGAGACATCAGAAATTTCTCCAGATTTGAACGCCATTGTGGGTTTCTTTTGAACATTGTTCTTGTGCAGATCTTCTTCTCCGATTCTGGGTAGTGATGATGATTTGAGTGTGGGTTTCTTTGGATCTTGTTCGATCTTTCGGAAACTGGGTTTGGGTGTTGGAGTTTCTGAGAGGACTTCTTTCACAGTTTCTTCTTCGAGCAATGGATGTGTTGGTGGTGGCACTCTGTTTGGTTTGGGTTTAGCGTGAGAACCTGAGGCTGCTCCGTTGGTGCTAACGCAACAACCCATTTGAGTCACAATGATTAAGCTTCAAATAGTACAAGGACTGAGCTTTAAGCTAACATTGTTATGTGGTGAAGATGCAAGATGTTTGTTGGTGCTGCGTGGTGATGTGGTTGTTCCAGGCTGTGTTAGTTGGTGTGTGGGAATTGGGATGAGAGAGTGGTGGTGTATGGTACAAGTAGAGGAGGAGGAGGAGGAGGAGGAGGAGGAGGAGTAGTAGGAGTACTGGAAGTTGAAGAAGACTTGAGGGTACAAAGAGGGTGGGAAAGTTAAGTTGAGAGAGGTGACTGGTAAATGAAAATGATTCCAATGGTTTTGGGGTCAATGAAGTCTATTTATTTGTAGGAGATCAATTACTGTCGCAACATTTTGTTTGGTTTGGGGACTTAGCTTCTAACAATGTGTTTGGTTTGGTTTGGTTTTGGAGTGGGGATGGGAAAGGAGTGGAAATTACTACTATGTTATCCGGTGGGATTGAAATTATCTTCATTATACTTTAATTTAATTTGTTTTTAATGATATATCATCTATTATAAATTCAAGTAAGATTCATTATTTAGAGATCGACCTTTACTCATAAATGATAAATGATTCGACTGAGGGAAAATAATATGCATATGTTTAATTATTAGGAATAGTCCAGTGGTTGAGGCTGTCTTTTGAGACTAGCTACCTTTCTTTCTTTGTTTGGGATATGCTCTAGACTAGTTCTAGCCATTATAGTAAGCCAATTAATTAGAAAAAACAATTAGTGTAAGCCTAAACACCCTATTATATATATATATATATATATATATATATATATATATATATATATATATATATATATATATATATATGCACATGTTAACTATGCATGGTTTGGGGGAAAAGGCTGAAGAAATACATGCGGTGTCATTGTTAAATCTAATATTTTTTTGGCCGGGGGTGGAAGAGAGAAGAAATACGATAGGTAAAAAAATGTCACTTTTGTTGGAGTGATAAAAGGGCTGTGACCAAAAAAAAAAGATGGAAAAAAAATTGTTTAAATGTTGAAGTAGAAAATGATGGTAATTAATAATACCATAGGATCCAAAGGGAAAAACATTTTCATTCTTTCGAAATTTATTCAAATCAGAGAAAAAATGAGATTTTTTTTTTCTTTTTTCCCCATCAAACAAAAGTAAAAAATAAAAATTATTTTAAAATCCTTTAATTTTTTTTACATGAATTTCATATGGGTCTTCTGATAGTCAAATCAACAAAAATAAGCAAACAAGAGAACATAAGGAAACTAAAAAAAATTGTGTGGCTTGCACTTTTTTTTTCCCTCCAAACCAAATAAATCTTTAATACAAATAAAGAAAAAGACTTTTAAAACTCCCAATACATATTGAATGAAAGAATATTAATGAAAAGTGATGAAAAATTTCATTGTCAACACCAAAACAAAACGTTTGAAGTGTTGCTATTATTGTACTTTGAGGTCCAAAATAAAATTTATAAAAATAGGATATGGACCATAATCATGAGTTTTATACGTTTTTTTTTAGGATTAATTACAAAATAACTCTTTCAACTTTTAATAGTTTGTAACTCACTCCTTTAGGTTTTAATTTCAACAAATAATCCTTTTTAAGTTTGAATATTTTGTAATTAACTCAAATAATTATTTTTAGATAATAAAAATTGATAAAAATTAGGCATGTCAAATTCACGAGATCTCTAATTTATTGAAAAAATAATAATTACTCTTACACTTATTTTTTCTTGTACCAAATATCCATATTTTTCCCTACACTGTTATATCCTTCCATCATCCACAATCTCAAATGGTTAGCTTTTATTCCCTTCCCTTTTTCGGTAGAAACCTTTCTTTCCCTGTGATGGGGCGGAGGCGAAAGTTTCCTTATTTTTTAGTCTTGATTTTTTTGTCTCCTTATTTTTAGATACAAAATTAATATCTCAAGAAAAAAATATAAAAAATAATGCGCAAAACGGATAATGTAATAGTTTTTTCAGGTGTTCAATCACTATTATTAGTCAATTTAATCCATTTAAAATTTGGAAGGGATAAATTACAGCATTTAAAATTATCGGAAACTGATTATAACAAAAGACATAATTCGAAGGGGCAAATTATAATTATCCCTTCTTTGTAATCACGGCTCAAGGGATATATATGTTTTTTTTTTCTAATCTTTTTTATTAAAAAAAACTTCAGGTTCACAAAGAATAAAGAATGTCATGGGCAGCTCTTGTTCTTCAAAATGTATTTAATTCTCATGAAACGATAGGTACGCATGCACATGCATGTGACTACCATTTTTCTTTCTGCTTCGTTGACCACATAACAAGGTTTGTGTTTTTTGGGTTCAACACGCTTGTTTGGATTGGTGTTTGAATGTAGGGATTGGTTTTCTCGAACAAAGAATAAGCCATGAATTTTCATTTATGCCCTTGTTCCGTTATCAATTTAAATAGAACGGGATAGAAGGTTCACATTAAATGAAATTATAAAATTAAGGGGCTCAATTAATACAAAATTTAGTTTAATGATTTAATTGAAACAAGTGATATAGTACGAGGGTTATTTATGTAATTTATTCTTAAGATAAAAAGAACCACATTTGAAATATAACCCGAGCCCATTATTAGCAGAAAGAAAAATGCAGCATTTGTCTATCTGATGTGTCCCCTTCGATGCTTTATGGCATTTGGTGTTCAAGATTAGAAGATTGAGAGTACTTATAAATTGAGTTGCACTTGCTTACTTAAGTCCAAACTTTTTAAACTATTTATATCTTGAAATGTGATGGTATAACATATCGTGAGTTAGATCAAGTTGGCAAATCGTATACACGTAAAGACGAATGGTCAGTGCTTATCATCTTACTCGAGCCACGCATTACTAGGCACAAGAAAAGTTGTCGGCCACTCAAGGTCAAATAACACAATGATTAATCTGCTCGAAAAAACGAACATTCAATTTGCTCCTTCTAGACATTCAATGGCCTTTGTGAAACATTTAATGAATCGTGTCGAGCATCTAAGGGATGCGCATCAATTATTTAAATGATGTCTCTCTTAATCAACCTATTTTAGATGTAATAACATACCTAATCATTTCTCTATTATATATCTCATTGATAGACTCACATGTTTGATTATTATTATTGCTCGAACTCGAGGCCAAACCTCCTTCTTATGGTTTTGCAAACATCAAGGGAATCTAGATAAGCTCCTAATGGTCTTCTCTAAGTATTATATGATCTCGGTATTGATCATCTCAATTTACGTGTCACTTGGTGACAATTCATGTCTCAAAAAAATATTTTTGAGAGGCCGTTGTAACTTAACTAACGTTCTCGATTCGAGACTTAGGAATGCAGCTGCGTTTGGTAGAGAAAGTTTTGTCGCCCTTGTGGTCTTACTCGGCTCGAATTTGAATTAGTCGGAGCCTGTTGTGGCTTCCAAATACTGGATAGTCTGACAAAAAAACAATTATTATTGTTCAAAGGTTAAATTTATAATAATATTATTCTGATCAAGATTTTTTATTAAAATTTTCATCTTAAGTAATATGATACAATTTTTATCATCAAATAAATAAATTTTATTAATATTCAATGATAAAAATTATATCATATAACTTAAAATGAAAAAATAATATTACTCATAAATTTGTTAGGTTACTGATAAACAATCTGTATATTGTATATTATATAGTTCTTTGCAGCTAGCAGTGAGGTTGGCTAAGAAGGACACACTACACTGTTTGTTAATGATGAAAACTGACAGGCATGGGCTAGCTAGCTGTAACTAAAATGATTGGGGACTTGTAATTGGATCAAAGAAATGACCCACACATCTGCATTCATACAGTATGTTTATGCATTCGTCCGGTCAAATCCCTCAAACACCTCTCGCTATCTTCTGCATTGTAATCAATAAAGGTTGGTATGCTAAAAATGAGGGAAATGTCATCGAACCGTCGGTAGCATTGTATTAAGAATTAGGGTTAATTCGTATTTGTAATTACGGTATAATATAAATAATTTTAAAATTATCAGATTAATTTATTGAATTATGTTCTATTTTATATTATAAATTATAATTTTTAAGGTTAAATTATAATTTTTTAAAATATAAGTTATCATTTTAAAGAGTATGATTATTTATAAAAAGTTGGGATCAAATTTTCATAAGTGATTATAGGTGTTTGTGATCGGTCATCGTCTTCCTTTAAATAGTTGAAATTTTTCATTGCAAAATTGTAATTTTACTTATTAAAAATAGGCTAAATTATATATTTAATCCTCAAAGTATGCATTTAATATCTATTTGATTTTTAATCTTTTAATTGTGTCTATTTGGTCCCTAAAATTTCTAATTTATATCTATGTAGTCCAATCCCAAATGTTCATTAAAAAATAGAGAGAATTACACTCAAATTTTCTGAAGTTTGTCACTTAATCACTTAGATCCCCTGAAAGTTAAAATAGTACACACAGACTCTTTGAAGTTTGTATGCGACCCCTATTGTAAATATATCCGTTAATAAATTATACTTAGATCCCATAAAGTTTGTAGGTATATAATATTTGAACCCCTTAAATTTAAAATATTATAATTAGACCAAAAATACTTTAATCAAAAATATAATATCAAATATATATTAAATTTTACAATCAAAATTCTAACAAAAAATACTTCAATCAAATATAGAATATCAAATATATTAAATTTTACAATCAAAATTCATGTTTTATTGTATAATTTATTAAAATAAAATAAAATAAAAATTTTAATTTTAATTTTTTCTTAAAAAATTGTAATTAGTATATAAGTATACTATCTATTAGAATAAAATTAAAAAATCAAACAAAGAATTTAAGTCATTCATAATAGAATATGAATTTTACATCTAAAATTCAAGTTCTATTATGTCATTTATTGAAATAAGATTAAAAATAAAAGTCTAATTTTTAAAAAAAAATCATAGTTAGTATATAAATATACTATCTATTAGAAAAAAAACAAAAAAAAAATCAAAATAAGGGATCAAACTGTAATGAATACAATATTTTTAGCTTTAATTGGGATAGTTTGATATTTTAATTTGGTCGTTTAAACGACCAACAAATTTTAGGGGATCTAAGTATAATTTATTAATTGATATATTTATAGTAAGGGTCTAAGTGTTACTCGAATACAAATTTTTTGGGG